TCTCTCTCTCTCTCTCTCTCTCTCTCTCTATCTATCTATCTATCTCTCTCTCTCTCTCTCTCTCTCTCTCCCCCTCCCTCCCTTCTCCATCTATCTCTCTCTCACGTTTGCCTTCCTGTTCGCAATTCTGACAAATCAACCTCCTCCGCCGAATCTCCCGGCTCGTAAAAAAAAGGACTGATTTCGTTCGGCGGTGACAACGACACCGAATGCACGTGCAGTGTCACCGGGATCGTAAAAGAAGCTTGCGACGTCGATGTACATGTGTATGTATACGTGTGTGTTTCGCGAATATGTGCGCGAGCGGGACATCGACTGACCCGTCGGGCATTAGCGGCGCAACAGCACGTTTCTATTGACTTCCACGGGACACCTAAACCATCCCGTCGCGCCACCGACGGGACTTCCTTCCGGGCAAAAATGGGGAAGAAGCCCCGACACTGGGAGAGTTCACCCTCGTAAAAAGGGGGAAAAACATCTGCGGTAAACAGCTATTCGGTCGTCGCTGCGGGAAACACCAGGAAGGGCTGCCGTTAGCGAGTGGATGAGGAAAAAGGGTTGAAGAGTGTCGCTTGAACGTAACATGAGCTCGAGATGCAAGAGAAACTTACTCTCCTTTCCTGAAGAATGTGAAAGACAAGCGTGCAGGAGATCAGTCGTTAATTAATCTAGATTGTAGTAGACTCCTTATAACAAAAGTCTAGACGTCGTTGTGGTCGCCATGTTTGGATAAAAGGAAGTTTACTACGCGCGAAATATTCATATACTTTTATTAGGGACTCTAGACTTGTAACACGTAGTACCGCCACCAGCGCCACCGTTACATCAACGAAATAAATAGACAAGTTATACGTAAATATGGCAGCAACTTTATTAGTTGATTTGTAAAGATTATATTGTATATATTTGTCACATTACAATATTTATCATATTGAATGACGAAATATAAAAATATGAAATATAAAAATATGAAATATAAAAATATGAAATATAAAAAAAATTATTTATACAATGTTTCATGTAAAATGTAAGCTGTAACATGTAAAATGTAAATTTAAATGTAAAATATAAAATGTTAATGTTAACATGACAATGTTAGTGTAACTTTTAGTCGCTGCATCAATATAATTAAAAGTGTACATTATTGCATGTTGTAAATTTGATGATTAATTCAGTATAGTATTTGTATAGTATATTGTACTATAGTATAGTATTTGTTTTATAAATGTTTTATAAACATTTGGTTTAATAAATGTAATCTCAGAAGTTGTAAAGTGTTCATCATCAGTTGTGTCTTACGTTGTGATAATTATAAAAGTTTATCTGAAGGTTTTATTAGTCAACTTGTAAAAATTGCATCCCTTGTGAGTGATACATATGACACTCACGTACCACATTTATCACGTTGAATGACGAAATGGGGAAGTGCGAAAAAAAGACGAAAAAAATTACCAGAGTTTATTCACAAAAATATGTAATGTGAAATGTAATATGAAAATTTGAGTGTGACTTTTGGTAAGCTTGCTGCTACATCAATATAACCAAAAATTTTTATTTTTGTATAATGTAAATTTAATGATTAATTCAACAGAATGTATGCTTCACGGATGTAATGAAAAATTACACGCCCCGTGTGATAATCATTGAAATCTGTCTGGCGACGGGACGGAAGGGGAAGTGAGAGACGGCAAATTAAAAACGAGAATAATCCGCAGGTTAGAACGGGGAGAATGGACTCATTTACACACGCGTGGTTAAGCCGCGGCGCTACTCCACCTCACCTTCGCGCACCCCGTGGCAGTCCGCGTTAATGCGAAGTCGCTCTCGAATTTTTTAATCGCGACTGCTACCGCCACTGCCGTTGCCGTTACCGCCGTATGAAGCCTGACGCATTGTAGGGAAGATTATAATTGCATTTTAGCGCGTAACCGAGAGCCATGGATACGTGGCGCACCACGTGTCCTCCGTGGCCGGGGCGAGCCCGAGCGGTACCTATGCAAATTTAATTAAACGCTTGGTGCGAGAGCTCGCGAGATTTTTCTTCAGCGCATAGAGATGTCGGGCTAATATTTACAATGGAGGCGATAACACCGATAATCTCCGCGCGCACGCGAGCGCGCTACTCAATTCTACCAGTGATTTTGTTTTCTTCCTTTTTCTGCTCTAGCTAAGGTTCCTTAGCACGGCAGGATAAGAACCTAATAGATAATGTATGGATACTGGCCGAGCGAGAAATACATCGACGGATTCGCTCCTCTAGGTTTCCTTCTCTACTATGTTTTCATCCTCTCTTTTGTGCTCTCTCCCTCTCTCTCTCTCTCTTAAATTTCAAACAAAGTCTTTGAAACTCTTTTTAAAACGTGTTGTTCTGTACTAAAATAAAACTAAAATAGAACAAAGAAAATAGACAAAATAGAACCAACTAAAAATCGTGCATAGGGAAAAGTTATAAACAGACTTTACTTAGAGTGAAAAGCAAGAAATAATCGAAGCTAAAGAAGCAAAACGGAAAAGGCAGAATTTAAAACTATTTAATTTTATAAGCAAAAGATACAATCGTAAAAATTGCTGTAATTTACATGAATATATTCTGTGTGTGAGGGCTAATCCTTAGATCAACAAAGAAGAGTAATCTTCTATATTTATCAGCGCAACTGCTCAATTTCAATAGTCCATTTCTATATAGGTTTAAATGTTAAGTTTATTCGTATTTTATTTCATTTTTATTTTTATTATTATTATTATTATATACATATAGATATTATATATATATAGAATCCCAGCTTGATTTTATAATCTCTCAAAGGCAGATTGAGGTAAATATAAAAATAAATATAAAAATATAAAAATATAATATAAAAATCCTATACCGTTTTGTAATATTCGCAATAACTATGGAGATATTAATTAAAGAAGATTTGTAAATGATAAACGCGCTCAATATAGTAAAAAATGAACTGTAGTGACGATATCTACCGTACTTGTACATTCAGTCAAACTGAATAAAAAATCCTTGACCAAATAACCATATAGATTTTTAGTTATTAATTTAAACAAATTTGTGCATTATCACGCGAAATTGTGCTGCCATTTTCTTTAATTAATAATTAAAAATTCCCGTGATTATTTGCAAGGTGATAGAAAACTTTTTTGCTCAATTTAACCTAATGTACATGAACACGACAGCAGACGTCACTACTACAGCTCATCTACCATATCATGGGCGTGTTGTATGTATGTGTGTGTGTGTGTGTGTGTATGATCACTAATAAAATAAAAAATAATCTTTTAATTAATTTTAATTTATCTCATTAATTTAAATTAATCTAATTTATCTAATTAATTCTAATTAATCTAATTAATTTAAAGTAATTCAAATTAATTACCTCATTAATTATTTAATAATAAATAAATTAATATCTCGATCATTATTATAATTTTCGCAAAACGGAATTGCTCTTTTTTTTTCATCTTAATCCACTCTACGTTCTCATAAGAGATTGTGGAATCGAATATATCCCTATATATATCCTTTTCTCTTTCTTCTTAGATTTAACATCTCGTATAGAATTAATTTTTCTATCTATGTATAACTCAGTATGCTCTTAAAGGGAAAAGCCCTAGGGTGATAATAAACGCAATTACGTCTCTCTTTCTCTCTCTCTCTCTCTTTCTCTCTTTCTCTCTCTCTCTCTCTCTCTTGCGCGCGCGCGCATAAGACCTCCGTCAGATGTTGAATCATATGTATTTTAATATCGTACATTTTTTCATGTTCGGCTATATCATGCGCCATGAAATATTGAATATGTAATGCACCGCAGAATAATTCGAGTGTTATACGAGATAGAAGAGAGGTAATCCGCAGGTATGAGATTTTAGTATCGCTGCTTTGCAATTTTGTAAAATACATTCAACCTTCGTACCTTCGTACATGTATAATGTATGAGCAGGAATATGTATAAAAAGATATTAAAAGCTTCAATTAGCATTTCAAACGCATGAAAATGTAATGTAAGTGCGGAACTGTGAAATGTCCTGTTCACCTTGAAATTCTCCGTATTCCTCGTGCAAAGAGATTAAAATTATCACGCTTCGACACGCGAAAATTCGCCACCACGCGAAGAAAGTCTCGTCGTTTTAGCGATTCGCACTCCCGCAAATTCGAGCGTCATCACGCGACAATCGCGAGATTTTCGTCGGTTCGACAATACGTTCGCAAATACGGCAGACTAATTATTGCGAAAACGTCTTCGTATACGCGTCACATTAACGTTCGTTACTCGTAACCGCACAGACTCGCGGACCGGTTTGCGTATCCAAACGTCGCGGCACCTTTCGATCGGTGCAAAGTCCCGGAGTCTGCAGACCGAGGCCGTTTTCTGAGCAAATGTGAGTCAGTCGCCATGTCTTGCCGGTTAGGAAGGATCTTGTAAGCTCGCGAGAACTCACCATTTCCTGTGTGGACCTCGTCGCCGCGCCGGGTAGGATAAAGGAACCGATTATGGAATACGCAGGCAATATAGAATGGGAGCTTATTTCTTCTATAAAGCACTGCAACTGTAAAACAGCACTTACTGGGAGTTGTTGCATTTATTTTCAGACGAGAAATTTTCAGACGTAAACGATTTTCTATTTACGTTCCGTCTAAAAGTTGTGGAAATCGAGTTGCTTTTGTTTGCTGAAAATAAATTCACTAATGTTTACAGTCAATGTGCACTCTCAATATAGTTGTATTAATAATGTTTTATCATTTAATTGTTATTCCTAATTTTTTTAATGACATGAAAAGGATCTATTCTGCGAGGCGTATTGAATATAAATCATTGGAAAAGCAGATAACTAACAACTTGAACAACTAACAAACTGAAGAATTCGCCAACAATGGAACAAATTTTTTTCTGTTTCATTTTTTATTAATTATGTTTATTTTCCGCAAAAGGTATGTATGATATCTTTATACCTTTTCAATAAATAGTCGCAACTTTTTAATGTACAAAATAATTTGTCCGATGATTATAAACAATGTTTTCTCAAAAATGCAAAGCTTTTCTCTTTATTGATTGTGTTATTACTTATTAATATTCCTTGAATTTTTTTCGGTAGTCCATATTATCTTCCATTTTTTCGATCCACTGATTTTCTCACTTTTTATTTTTATATTAGCATTTAAGCTGCAATTGAACTTTAGGTACTTTCTTCAATTGAATCTTGCAAGTAAACATGTCTCTCGATATTTCTATGTTATTAGAAAGTTGAAATATGCATTTACATTGCAGTAATGTCGATTTGAAAAAAGGTATTCCATAATCTGTCCCGTTACCCTATATTTGCGCGTACGAACGAATTATATTCCGTTTTGAGTCGGTCAACGCTTCGGAATGAATCTCAAGATTGCTCGCGGATATATTAAACGCGGCGTTCTACATTTTCAGTTATCCTCCACACTCGCTGCTTTATTAATTTATAGATTTTCTATACTGAGCTCGACGTGGATGTACCACGATGTGCTGTCGAAGAAGGCGAATTCGAATATTGCGGAGATTCTGCATCGGCCCATCAGAGAGCTGGCGTTTTCAGAGAACAGTAATATGGGCGTGAGTACATACACTTGAAACAATAATTCATGAATATTTCGCCGCGTTGACGTCACTTCCTTAAAAAATCGATGTTGAAAATAAGATTTTTCGTTCCCTTTATAGGGAGAATTTTATAGTAAAAATTATTGTAGAATTTTGTAATCAAGAAATATATCGATATTCCGCTTTAAGTTATTATCTCCTCCTATTTCTATGTGCTATTTATATACTTTAGGAGCTGAAATGTACTATTAAAAAATTTAGTATGTGCATTTAGCAAAATTTATTACCTTGTAAACTCTGTATATAAACAGACAATTCCTACGCTACCAGAAAATATAATATTTAGTAAAAATGTTGTAGTACAAATATTTGAAAACTTGGTGGAAAAGATTTATCAATTTTCTATTAAATTCTTGAAAAATATGTAAAAAGTTTGAGTATTAACAGGAACGTAGGAAGTTCTCGTTAAATCTGAAAAGATATCGAGGTTATATCGGCCATTTTATTCGTAGAAATTATTAATCCTTCGAAATTAGATAATTTCATTTTCTATCTTATCTGATAAACACAATATATCTTGTGCACTAATTTAATATATTGTAAATAATCAAGCAAAGTAACATGAAATATTGATATTCCGCTTTAAATTATTATCTTCCCATTTCACATGTTATTTATATATTTTCGGAGCTAAAGTGTAGTATTAAAAAATTTACTTACTTTTGTAGAAAATTTATATACAGAAATCTCTAAAATTTTTGTTAGCGCAGCAAACACACACGTACAGTATAAGCTACAAATACTTTTATATCAAGTAAATATTTATACCAACTGGCAGTTCAAGATGCTAATTTTAAAATTTTTTATCGTCTTTGTCACGTATTAAGCAATGCTCTAATTCATTATTCAATGCTCCAATTCAATATTATTGCATACTTTCAGTGTGTATAACGCTTGTAATTCTGTGCAACCAATACGATATAAATTTTGCAGAAAATATCAGTATTTTGTCGATAAGGTATCTATCAAGTATGATATCTTCTTAAGAAAAATTTTAGAATATGAGTTGCTTTACTGACTTTTTAGATTTATGAAACTACTAATAGGTTGTATAAATATTATTTTTTTACTATAATATTTGTATGTGGATGAGGTGTTTAACTTATTATTACCGTTTAAAAAATAAAAGCGTTCCTGCAAGCTAAATGTTTTATTTTGAAATAAGCAAAAAGCTTAAATGTTTTATTTTGAAATAAGGTAACAGCCCTAATTATGGATCATTGAAGGTTAAAGTAATTTTCAATCATTTACATAAATTTGTCGGTCGAACTCTTGATATCAATATAAGTAACTAATATCACAGTTTTAGGACGAAATTATTAGACTTTAAATTAGTTCGTTTTAAATTATAAAAAATTAATTAGAAACATTTAGTAAGTTTTAATTATGGATCAGCAAATATATATCACGTGCTCGTATATAACGAGTTATACGATACTCAAATTTATATTAATAATGCCTATATTCACATTATGTTTTAATTTGTTTAGATGTATGTATAGTACAACCTACTCGTCGTCTATCATTGTATACTTATACATTAAGTCAAACTGAACAAAAAAGTTCTTTACCATTTTGCAAATGACCACATAGATATTTAGATATTAACTGAGAAAAATTTGTACATTATCGCGCACGATCATGTGTGTAACAATTTTCTTTCATGAGTAATTAAAAATCTATGTAGTTATATGCAAAATGATAAAAGGTTTTGTTCAATTTGACTTAATGTACAAATACACAACACACATCGTTATATAGCGTTATAAAAGAATTAGAAAAGTAAAATTTTATCTTGAGTATTTTAGTTTTAAACATTTTATATACATGAAAAATTTTTTAAACATGACAAATTAATTTAGACAGTAAAAGATTAAATAAATTATATAGTTGCTATTATATATATATGTGTGTGTGTGTGTGTGTGTGTGTGTGTGTGTGTGTGTGTGTGTGTGTGTGTGTGTGTGTGTGTGTGTGTGTGTGTGTGTGTGTGTGTGTGTGTGTGTGTGTGTGTGTGTGTGTGTGTGTGTGTGTGTGTGTGTGTGTGTGTGTGTGTGTGTCAATTAATTTAATGATTGCGATTTAGTCATAATAGCTATATTAATATAATTTATTGTTACATTACCATATCGCGCATTTACCAATTTTCTTTAATTAATATCTCAATTGTTACGAATATCGCAAAACGGTATAGGACTTTTATGTTCACTCCAATCTGTTTTACGCTCTCGCGAAGTTAGAGAATAAAAATTTTAAGAAAAGTTAAATAAAATTTGACACGCACACAGAAAACACTTGGCGTGCCAGGATAAAATTTCACACGCACACACAGAACACTTGGCGTGCCTATTCTTTCAATGTTACTCGTACAACATATGCTCCAAAGATTTTCGTAAAGTGCTAAAAGTATTAATGCGATCCCCTCTGGCATGCCAAGTGTTTTGTGTGTGCGTGTGAAATTTATTTAACTTTTCCTAAAATTTTTACTTTTGTATGTTTACTAAATAAGCTTTTAAAAACTATATTTTCCTAATTTTGTGTAATTATCAGAAAATAAAGTCAGTAGATACCTAATGTAGTGTTCATATATGCAATGTAGTTATAACAATATTTATTGTGTATGAAATTAATTTCACTTGGCGTAAACCGTTTGATATTACTTCTTTTTGTACGAATTTTGTCAATAACTTTTTTTATAATATTTTTTCCAAGTGAAACAATCTATTTTACGCTCTCGCGAAGTTAGAGAATGATGACTCTGTATACTATATAACACAGATGTAGCAATTGATGAGGATAAGTATCTTGTAAACATTTAATTTCTTACAGATACCTTTTACAGATATCTATTTATAAATACCTTATAGATACCTCTAATATATAATATATAAAAATTGAAAAGAATTTATATGAAAAGAAGCAATAATGTTTCTGTATTAAATCTTTCCCGATAATGGATGCCTAACGTGAAAATAAAATCGCTCTCTAATCAGGTTATTAACGTTTCCCTTGCAGATCTTTGTCGCTCTTTCGGTGCCGCTCGACGATCCGCTAAGTTCAATCTCTCTGTCGTACTTCTTCGAGGCCAACTACAAATTACCAGCGAACATAACGTTCTTCGAGCCTTGGTACGCCGAGGGAAAAAGAAAGAGGCGAAGTATCGACAGAGTCGCGATCTATCGAGTTCTGGAAAATAAATTCGAGAAGTAAGTTCGCGAACAAATAATCGCCGTTTACGTTAATTAACGTGCCTCTCCCGATGCCAACGACTCTATATAATCCTTTCGCGGTGTCTTCGTTTTTTTGTTGTTTTCTGTCCGATGGGTTTATCGGCTGGCGAACTGTCTGTAAATAGCTCGCGCAATATTCGAAATTTTCAGCTGATCGAGCATTTCGAGCAATTCTGTCATTCGCTAATTAAGCAGAATTTCCTCTCTCATGTTGAACGGCACTTTTACAAGATTCTTCATTACTGTTACATGTATTCTCTAAATATTTTCCTCTGGTAAACTGTTTGGCCGCAAAATTTTACCGCAAAATTATCATTCATCTTGTTCCTACACTTAGAAAAAAAGCAGTTGGATTGACAATCGGCAATTTTCAAAAAAATATTGTATCTATTGAACAAATGACACGTTAATGTAACAATAAATTACATTGATATAGCTATTGTGACCAAGGCGCAATCATTAAATTAATTAATATACATATACTCACACATACACATATATATAGGGTGTCCTATCTAACTTGACCATCTTAAATATCTCGCTTATGTTTTATGGTAGAAGGATGCCAAAGGGGGACATTATTCAGTTCAAAGAGACAAATACTGTAAAAAATAAGAAATTTTTCTCAAGGTCATATTTTTTTAGGATTTCAAAGTCATTGTTATTTTTTTATATAAGAAAAAAAAAATAGAAAAATAAGAAAAATTTCTTGTTTTTTACAGAATTTGTCTCCTCGAACTAAATAATGTCCCCCTTTGGCATTCTTCTATCATAAAACATAAACGAGATATTTAAGATGGTCAAATTAGGTAGGACACTCTGTATAATAGTAACTATATAATGTAGTTAACCTTTTATTGTCTAAATTAATTTCTCATGTTTATACAATTTTTCATGTACATAAAATGTTTAAAACTAAAATATTCAATACATATAAGATGAAATTTTACTTGTCTAATTCTTTTATTTTCCCAAAATAGGCAGTATAAATATTAATTTACCATCTCTGCTAACGTAATAAAAAAGCAGCCATATTGCGACTTTCACGTCACATCGGTCAAGACAGTAACGACATTCATGTTCGAGATAAATAATGATGAAACTGAATTGTGATTTCAGAATCACAGTAGGGCAGTAGAGGATTAATCGACTAAATGTTTACTTGAATGAATTTTGTCCGTTCAAGCAAAATCTCATTAATTCAACCACTTTTTCTCTCAATGTACGCTGAAACCGTGGAAAGCCTGGAAATGTCTATCACTAGTTTTTATAAACCTTTGAATATATAAAAAAGGCAAAACTAAGAGACATATATATTTTTCTAATTGATTTCTCGTACGATTAGTAAATGCCGCGCTATAAATAATTACAGACACGTAGGGGCAGATCGCGTTCTGTCTGTCCGTGATGCATTTGTACTTATATAATACGACCTTCATATCTCATATATCCAAAAAATAACGATACAGGAAATAATTTTATTATACATAGTTGAATTTGGCACAAAATTTTTACATACACACACACGTATATCTTTTTAATCATTTTTAAAAGATAAGTTCGTAAAAATAATAAGACCTGGAAATGCATTAAAAAATTTGAAATTGATACGAAATGTAAATATATAATTATAATACACATCATACATTATGCAATTTTGTTCAAAATATTTTCTCACATATCTCACGTTTTCAAAGATATTCACTCGATATACGCTGATGAAATATGTGTTATAGAAGCAGTTTCGAGCAGTTAATTCAAGTTCTAAAAGTTCGAGAAAACACTTTTAGAAAAATGTTGCAAGATCTAAATTTATAATTATAAAATACATCATGTGTCTCACACAATTTTATTTAAAACATTTTCTCATTTATCTCATGTTTTCAAAGATATTCGCCCGTGATCAAATATGTGTTATGAAATTAGATTCAAAGGTTTCAACTCCTAAACGTCTGAGAAAACATATGTAAAAAAAATTTTGCAAAATCTAAAAAAATTCATAGTTATAAACATAGTTATTACATTTTATATCAATTTTGCTCGGTAATTTTGTTTGGCATTTTCTCATCTTACATTTTCAAAGATATTCGATCAAATATAAGTTATGTAATTAGTCTCGAAGGATTGGTTCAACCCCTAAATATCTCTAAATACCCAAAAAAACACTCATCAAAAGAAGAAATGCATATCTGTTATTTTGAGCTTCTCTACAATATATTCAAGCTTCGTCAGAATCGGTGAGTGACACTTCCAGACTTCCCCTTGTGAAATAAACAACAGCGATCGATCGCTGCGGTTTATTATCGCGGGTATCAGCGTCGAGTCGCGTACGAGAGAAGTTTTATCGTGACGCTCGGAACAGAAGGAAAATCAGCGAGATTTCCAGGCAAATACACCGCCGGTTCCTCCGTTTTACGAGCAGTCAGAGCACCTGGGAATTGCGTTACACGTCGTCCGACTCGGCTGCTGCCGGTATTGTATTCGTAGGCACGAATTACGTATGCGAGCCATCGATCCCAGTATTTAGAGAATCGTAAAATGCGAAACAAATCGAGGGGCGAAACGGCAACGCCGAGCGATCCGTTCTTGTACACTCATCCCCGAATTCCGCGGTTTCACGTGACTTTTCTCCAATGTTTCTTCCTCCCTGCCGCAGCTCCGGGTATTCCGGACGAGACTGCCTACTGAGAGCAATCTGCGAGACCTCGGAATTTCCGCTACGGCACAACGGAGTGATCGGCGACATCGTGCACGTGCTTTTCACGTAAGTTTGTTTCGCTTTACCTTAAACTTAGAACTCTAAACATGAAAAAAGTTACATGAACACTAAACATGGACCAATTTTACCGAGCGTATCTTTTCTCGCTCATAACTGAAAAATTTAACATTCCATAATTTAACATTTCATTTTTAACATTTAATATTTCAATTTAACATTTTATATCAGAAATCTAATATTTCATTTTTTATTACGGTATAAATCATCAAGGAATATGACTAATATGCTTGTGATTAAATAAAGTCGAGAAAAAAATTATAATAAAAAGAAGCAAAACATATGTGTTTCCAAACTTCACATTTTTCTAACTTGATATCAGTAAACTTTATCCCTGTTTAAAATTTTGAAGTTAATGAGCGCTATGAGAGATTTAGAATCTTGTAATATTTACAGACAAAAATGTCGGTAATTGCTGAAAAGTTGACGATTGGAATTAATATGTTTACCACCCAAAAATTTAAAACAAGACGTAGAAATGGTATTTTTTCTCATTTTTGTTTAGCTATTGCAAAGGCAAGCCCACTTAGGCTCTGCACAGCAATGTAACGGTCGTGAAAATTAATACCAAATTTGTAAATCTAACTAGATCCTATTTTGGCACACCAAGCTAGATTTAATCTTAATGTGTCTAATCAAGCCTTATCTTGACATAGCTAAGTATACTCTGTCTTGGCATACCTAACTAGGGTCTATATTGTTATATTTAACTATTAATATATTGGATTGGAAAATTTCAAAATAATCTATTTATAGCAATATTTAAATGCACACTTGTAGACTGTGTAAAATTTTCGACTTAAATACTATTTTTGTAAACCAAAACTAAAGTTAGTTATTTTGGTTTTATTTCAACTTTATTATCATAAATTCGAGTCTCTCTCTCTCTCTCTCTCTCTCTTTCTCTTTAAGATTTTATTTTAAATTATTCCAGAAAAATGATTTAAACTATGCTCAAAATTGTTTAAAAACTTTATACATCCAAATATTTGTGTCGAATGACTAAAAAAGGCTGAAATCATAATGATAGAACAAGAATTAGTGCTCTCAATGTGACTTGATCGTATTCTTGAAAAAAGACCGATAATATCATCCTTCTTTCATTATCGTCAGGCTTCTCCGAGCCCTTTAGGCGGTCACGAAAATTTACCCAGAGCTGACGGTCTTTCATAGTACCTCGCCGACTTGTTCTCCTTCACCCTCACGCGAGCGAGATACGCACGATCCTTGGTTAATAACTCGACTCCGCCTAAGCGGACTACCGTTCAGTCGACCGGCGCATAAAACACGCCGAAGGATGCAGACGCGAATTTCCTCCCGTTGCTCTTGTGAAAAAAGGATAAGAGCGCCAGCGGCGGTCTCTTTTTTCCGGGAGTGCTACGTTCCAAGGCGCTGCAAATTGGAGTAGATACGCGCAGTGGAAAAGCAAATTTGGCTTCCTCGCAGCAACCCTCCCGACCCATAGACGTGCATCCGCTTCGCTCCGCTTCGACTGGCTCTCGCGGACGAATAAGCTCTCCAGTCAGGGACGTATGAATAAAGGACGCGAACCCGCGGGCGAAAACGACATTGTCGGCGTAGTCATGGTCGTCGTCGGCAACGTTCTCGCTTGTTGCCACGGCGAACGAACGAGAAGTTTCCTCCGTGTAACGCACAATCGCATAACGCCTCGCTCAATTACGGGACACTGGGAGCGCAAAACCGATCATTTCAACGCTATATAAATTGACATTAATTAATTTAACTGAAATATTTTCAATAACGATCGGCCCAAAAATGGCACAAACATAACCTAATATTAATAGTCATCATTTGAAACAGTTTCTCACTTATATCACACAATGTACGTATAGACAAGCTAGAGAGTGAAGCTACTGCACTGTAGGAGTAAATTCCACTTGGCAATCGCGTCGACTGAGAGCGATATCTTGCCTTTCTTCCTCACTGGATGTTAAACAAAAACAGAATGATGTCCCGCGTCGACGTGATCGCCGAATGGAACTTACCCTAAGTGTATGACAGCAGGAGAGTTTAGTCGCGCGAGAGAGGTGACGTACGACGCGGTAAGGCCAGCACACGTATATTACCTAGAGTTCCTCTGGTAAGAGTTAGGACACCACACAATTACTCCTGATTGGTCCGCGTTCCGTCCGCCATTAATATTCCGCCTGAGATGAGTGAGAGTGAGAGGGAAACTCTAGTAGGAATAAGACAAATGCTCTAAAAAGACTGATATGACAAGCACACGCTGTAGCTTTTCTCTCACACATTGAGTAAATCAACTTATTGAGTTCGTTTGGAACTACAAACGTTTTGTAACACATAAAGAACGATTGTCACTGGTCTACGGCTCTTCGAAATATTGTAAGGTTAAACAGATCGGGCGGAATACAAATGGCGGACGGCGTGTGTGTGTCCTAACTCTTACCAGAGAAGCTCTAACATTATCGAATGCTTTACTCTATCTTACATGAGAAATTTCCATTACGCGACATGTAAGATAACCCTACAGCTACGCACAAAGAAAAATGTAATGTAAGGTAAATGTCCCAATAGCCGGACATTTAACAGCGTAATACTACAATTGCTTAATTTTATAAAAATATATAATACTTAATAATGTAAAAATATAATTAATTAAAAGCTAAGACTTTAAGAAGTATTATTATGATATAAAAGATAGTAAAATTATCAAAATTATTTAAAAAATAATCAAAATTTGCAAGATTAGGAATGTACCAATACCCGGACAATGCCCCTATTGCTAAACTCAGTTGACCCAATATCCAAACATGATAATTAAAATAAAATTACAAATAAATTCGTCATATTTTGATTGATTTTTTTATTTTTATTTTTACCGTTTTTCATGTCTTCCAAAGCAGCATTCTCGTCCTTTTGTGTATATGACTTTTTTCTTATGCTTTTGGCATACTTATGATCCTATAAAAAAGCTATAATTCATACGGTATTAATGCAGATAACAGTGCGAAATATTTGCATGGATGCCGTTTAGAAGTTATATTTTAAATGCTACCCAGATAGCACAGAGAATTCTAAAAGAATTCAGTCGTATGTCACTAATTCTGAGTTCATTTTTAGATACTAAAAGGATTCTTTTCACTGAACTGAACTCTGAAAAATTCTTTTTATATCTGAAAATAAACTCAGAATTGGTGACATACGACTGAATTCTTTTTGAATTCTTTTTGAATTCTCTATGCTACCTGGGTATATAAGTATAGAGGTTATGTAGTTAAAATATACACTTTCAAATTACATTGATTAATGTGTCAATATTTACTTACTCTTTAAACTTTTATTGACAATAATTTTAATTAACTTTACTTATAAAAATGTTGTGATAACAGTTATTTCTCGATTTGCTTGTTGGTACACGCGAGGACATGTGTAACGCGAGTTGCATCGGTAATTGAACGTGTAGCCGATTACTAGATAATTATTATATCACGAAATTATTGTACCAGTAGCTAAATTCATAAAATTTAACTATAAATAAGTTTTTTTATTAACTAAATGCATTCTTATAAGTATTCTTTACCATTTCCGGAATATATAACGTAATGCTTATGAGATAAAAACAATAAAGTCAATAAAAAGTATCTTAACAAATATATCAAACTTCTTAAAAAAACATTTAGAACATCGTGAAAGTATATCCTGTATCTAATCATGTTACAGTTTTCTTTTTATAATAATATAATTTAATAATAATTTTTATAATACTTAAAATAATTCAACATATAAATGTTTTTAAATATTGATAGATTTTAATTAAACATTAATATTATATTATACTAAAAGAAATAATTAAGGTTAATAATAATAATTTTCCGTATATATGTCCGGATATAGGAACATGTCCGGCTATTGGTACCTTTACCTTAACGTAAAAATAGAGTGTCGGACATTCTCTTACTTTACGTTACGTATTTTTTGCATTATTGTAGGATTGACTTACGTATTGCATAAAAGTGAAAAAAACGCAAAGTTCTCACATAAAGTAGTGTAAAGCGCTAGTAATGTAATGCCCTCTCCCTGCTATTCATTATTAAGAGGATGCTGAAGTCAATGACGAACTCGAACAATGTCGATAATGCAGAGATGATCGTCACTAACGTAATCCTTTTCGTATTTTTTGTACAGAACTTACATGAATGTATGTTATATTTTGTTTTACCATATTCAACGGAAAATCTAATCATATATGTATAAAAATCTTTCTGCAAACTTTTTCGATATTTTTGAGCTTCCAAATGCAGATGCGAAGGTAAAGCAATGTTTTTCAAAATTTTTCAAATCTGTTTGGAGCATCCACACTTTCGGTATGTACAAATTACGGAACTTTTGGATTAAGCAAATATTACAACTCACAACTTGAGATTTTACATTAAAAATTTGTTGTTCATTTTCATCACATATCGAGCAATGCTCCTATTTATTTTTGCACGTACTTTTACTGCGTAAAAGCATTTGTAATTCTATGTAAGCAATACAACGTAAAATTTGCGGAAAAATGTCAGTGTTCTGTCGATAAAGTTTTCAGCTTCAGTATCCCCTTAAGATGCAGAAAATACTTATATTCACCATAAGAATTAATATAGAACTAAATTCAAATCTGAGTATCTCACATGAGACAAGTTTCAAGTAACGACTATTAATACGGATTTCAAATCGTAGATTTTATGATTTTACGATTATCAACGCTATTATTAAGAACATGTGAGCTAATAAACACTTTTTGTCTTAAAACTTTCATTCTCAGAGCTGTAGCGAAAGACGTGGTTTACATAAGATACAAATGACGGGAAGCGGACGGTTGTGATCTCTTGAAGATTCTTGTGTTTCGGCTCGAGGCACGCACGGTACCTTCGCGCATTGTCTTTTTCGTCGCGACAATGCACGACTCATCTCCTTGTCTCTTTCTCTCTCTCTCTCTCTCTCTCTCTCTCTCTCTCTCTCTCTCT